GCCGTCCTTGGGCGCGCCGCCGCTGCCCTCGGTCGTTTTCTTTTTCGCGGGCGGACGTTGCCTCAAGGACGCGGGCCAGGCAGGGTGCCCTTGGCCGTCCTTCGGCGCGTCGCCCTCCTCTTCGCCCGTGGTTCACTTTGTGGGCGGACGTTGCCTCAAGGACGTCGGCCAAGCAGGGTTCCCTTGGCCGTCCTTGGGCGCGTCGCCCCCGCGCTCGAATGTCGTCTACTCCGCGGGCGGGCGTGGCCCTAAGGGCGTGGAGAAGGCAGGGGCCCCTCGCGCGTCCTCGCGTCCGCAGCATGCGCGGCGTCGCCCAACCGAGCATGCGTGGCGCCATGCCTAGGGGGACGCGCGGATTTTGAAGGTACCCTTTGCGTCCTTGCGATGTTTTTTTGCGTTGGGCCCCGACGACAATTCGTCAAGGACGGGGGCGGGTTGGGGTACCCTTGCGTCCCTGGGGGATTGGCCGCCTGCCGCCCAGAACATTTCAACTTCGGCAACCAAGGGTCTTGCGTCCTTACCACGCGTCCTTACTATACGTTTTCACTGTAACCGGGTTTGAGCGAGGGCAATGCTGGGCTCCCACCTTCGAGGTGGGCCATCCCCAAACGCTACATTTAGCGCATGAGAGGTCGCAAGTACGTAGCTCACAGTGGGGCCCATGCCAACAAAACACCCTGCTTGCCTCCGGGCCGCCCTGGGTTTCTTGGGTTTCGATGCTTGTCCGATCGAAAGCGTGACGTTCCCACACCAAACACTAATGGACGTCCTGGGGTCTCAGGGTTTGGTTTCTTGTGGAAGGTTTCTTGTGGACTAGCCTCCACTGTATCCGGGTTTTTACCTTTTGTTGTCATTGAAGTCATTCGGCCAGATCTCGTTCAGCCGCCGCGCCCCGCTGTTTCTTGGCGGTTGGGGGTTCGCTCGCTTGTGGAGCAGGATGTCATGGGGCAAAAAACATGAAAAAAGGGGGCCGCAAGGAAGTTGGGAGAACGTTGGGGGCAGTACGCGAAGACATGCGTCACTCCACTGCAGGCGCCTCGAACACTTGGGCCCAGCGTCATCCGAATGAGCAAGAGAAGTGTCGGGGGACTCGTGGCTCAGGCCACCTTCAGACGCCAGCCCTTCTGGCCAAAAGCCCAACCCACCGACATGCCGGGGCGTCCACATGACCCAGTTTCTGGCCTTTCCTTGCACGGCCTCTGGTGTCGACCATGTCCCGCTTGTCGCGGTCCGCTATGACACTGCTTGGCAGATGTGGAAAACACGGCAGCGAGACACCCGAGAATTCTCAGAACGCTCTTGAATATCGGTAACGTGTCTTACACGAGTGTGAACACGCTGCGTGCGCACGGTGCAGTGCGCCCTGTCATTTAGCTCACGCGGTCGCCGTCCCATGCCGTGCACAGTGAAGGCATAGGCTGCCAATTGCTGCTGGGAACCGCACGTGTAGGAGCAAATATGGCAAGCGAAAACCTGGTTACCTCAGCCATTTGGGGGTTTTCGCCGACGTGTGCGCGCGAATCACCTCGCACTCTATCTCGGCAGCTTCCCAATTCGCTCAGCGATCCAACGGTCGATTGATTTTGCTGTGCAACGGTCAAGCGACTCTGCATGTGAGGCCAAATATGTAAAATCCTTCGGCACCGCGTGCATCCATGATCTGCGCGCGCCAGGAGTACGTGAACTGATCACGCACAGAATGCGCGGCGCATGCAAGCACGAACGAGCGAGCACACACACACGTGCATGGAGATAATCAGGATTGCTGGAGCATTGAACCTTTCGCACTGCGCTATTGCCTGATGCGCTGGCGCACGGAACACATCATCAGTTTCCCGAGGCACAGATGAGTATATGCATATCATAGCGGAGTGCGCTTTCAACAGTTCACCCGCACATAACGAAGACCACGTGCTAGATTGGTGCAAAATGTGTGAACGCGACGCCCTGACAGAGCGCCGACTGGGTCTCGACGGGAACGGTCCTGCGCGTGAGCACTTTGTGACATAGTGCCTTGAACAACCCCTGCATTGCCCCCACTTTCGAAATGATTTCAGTGTGTACTGAGTCAGTCGAACAAGTGACAGTGCCGACGTGCTTGTATTGCGACGTCGCAACAACGTGCTCTTGGCCACCCCGAGACTTGAGAAACTTATCTGACCAGGGTCATCAACATCAAGGCATTTCTAGCGTCCGCCGACCCAGTGCCAACAAGTCGAAAGAGGGCCTCTTGACTTCTCCCTTTTGAAATTGATGACTCAAGCGTGACGGGAGAACACGTCTTCAAATCTTATGTCATCGTACACATTTTGTCATCGATATCAGCAGCAGGGGCCACCAGAGGCTGCACGACTGAGCACGGCTGGCCACCGACTCCCCGACCACCTGTCATTCTCCGGGTTTTTTCTTCCGGCTCGTAACGCGAGTTCCATTGTAAATCTCCACCGTTTCTTCTGGTGGCCAGATTATTTGCTTTCCTTCCATGCGCACTGGGTTGCAATTCCTGCGAGGTCGAATTCAGCATTGGCGCTGGTACACCCCTGGCCTAATCTGGCCGAACCTTGCTCAGTTCCGCTCACTTTCGCTCCATCCCGCTCGACCTGGCTTGTTCGGACTCGATCTTGGGCTCAGCCTGGGCCAATCCAGCTCAACAGGCCCTCGACCGGGCCCACTCGCCCCGAGTCGTTCCCACGAAGACCTCCCGGGAGCTGCCCCCTGCACTGTTACTGCTCGGGGGCACCGACGGGGGTGGCGAGCCCAAGGGGGAGGAGGCATCGACCCACGGGCGCCCCTGCGTCGCCATTTCTCGGGGCCTCTTTGTGCCCCACCGCGCCCGGGAACGTCCTGCTTCGCTGCCCGGGGCCCGTCGCCGCTCCCACCTGCGATGGGTCACGGGTGCCAAGGCAGTGTCTGTCCCGTCTGAGCGTGGCCACCTCGTCGGGCTCCCCCCCCAGGTGGCAGAGGGAGCGAGGCGGGAGTGATGGCGTTCTGGCGGGGCGAAGCCCTCTTAGGAGGGGTTCCAGGAGAGGGGCGAAGCGCGGAGACATAGGCGTTAATACGCCCTGTTCTCCCCGAAGCCTCCAAGCCAGCCCACGAGGCGCCCAAGACGGCCCAGGATACCCTAAGACGGCCAAAGAGAGGGCGTCAAGACGGCCCGAGAGCGCTCCAAGAGAGCCCCAGACTGACAACCGATCCCATCCGTCTTAGCTCATCCCTGTCCCTATCTCTTCTTGTCTCTTCTGTCCCTTCCTGTTCGATTCCTTGCACCGCTTGCTCCCGCCGCCATTTAGGGCCCTTGAATCGCGCCGTGCCCATCGGCGCCCAAGGAAAAGCAACGCCTGCCCGTCCTGCCGAGCGATGACCGCCGGATGGGTTTCGCTTGATTCATCCTCAAGTTGGTAGCGGAACGGGTTCTCCACTGGACCGCGACCTGCTCCCAAGAAGTGCGAAAGCTAAAGACTTCAGCTTCGTTCGACGGCAGTGGGGTGAAATTGTGCCCCATCGCCGGACCACAGCAGTCATGGACCTCGTACGAGGAAAACCTGGACGCTTGGAAACACAGTAGTGCACCAAAGCAAAAAACAGCTTGGTCCTCACATGAAGGCACGTGTTTTTCCGCCAACGCCACTTTCCGCAACCTGGCCCGGTTGCTAAACATGGCGCGCCTGTCGTCCAATCCGAAAGACGAGACGGGTGCAACAGGTAAGCTAGGGTACAAGTACCTTCTAGATTTTATGCAGACATCCATGATACTGATCGACGAGTTTGAACACTAGCAGTTCGCGAAGCTGGAAGAGTTTGTGAAGGCTCTCATTCTCATCATTAACGCAGAGCTAACGCAGCAACAACGTTTCCAAGTTCAGTACTCGATGGGATATAGTTTTTTTTGGGGCGTTGCAGAACACGAAGCAAACTGTCCAGAAGGTTTTGGGCGAGAATCTTTTGGCCAGGTCTTCAGAGCCCGCCAGCTTCACAGCTGACAAACGGGCCACTAGCGGCCCCGAGTGGGCTGACGAAGAGTTTTCCTGGGGGGATGCTTCTTGGCAAGACCAGGAGTGGTCCGAAGACGCCTGGCATGGAAATATTTGTTGTCTTCGCAGTGGAGATCCACGGCACTATATTGCCCAATGTCCACATCCACCAACATGCAAAAGCGACACCTCGTTTGAAGGCAGAGGCCAGGGCGCCCCTGGCCGGAGTGCCGTTCCAGGCCGGGGTAACGGAGGTAAGGGCAAAAACAAAAAAAATCAGCACCAAGCGCAAACACTCGTCCACGCCAGGCTTCCAGGCAGGTCTGCCAAGCGGGAAAACAATCTACAACGGTGGGGAACCTAGCTTTAGCTAAGGAAAAATGTCGCGAAAACGGCCGCCCAACAGTGGAAAACAACCGTTTGCGTTCGCAGCTGACGACAGCAGTTGGTGGACGTCTGGCGTTGAGTGGTCTGGCGTTCCTGACTGGAGCGCAGGCCCACCCGCGCACGAAAACCCAGATGCGCAACTTGCAGGGTCCTTTGCGGCGTAACGCTGTGGCGACGAAACTCTTAGAAACCCACTGCCGCGAATCCTGCACAAACGGGAACTGCCCAGACTATCGCCAAAACGCGCGCAAGAACTACGCACCTACAGGGCGCAACTGCTCGACGACGAGCTGGCGTGCCTGAGGTGCCTCGAAAAACAGGGGCTACCAGAAGTGTCGCGTCCTCCTCCCGCCGCTGCCTCGGCGGCAGCGCCCAGGCGGATCGTGGCGAGCTTGGGTTTCTGGGCCTGCGGATCGAAGCTTGCAGTGGATGTCGTCGACGACGGTCTGCCGAGCTTGGGCTTCCCGGCCTGCGGACTTAATCTCCCCGTAGAGGATTCTGCTGGACCGTCGAGTTTGGGCTTCCCAGCCGATGGACATGCTTCCTCCGCGTAGGGGCGCGGCCTCTCGTCCAGCGCTGTATCTGGACCGGCGAGCTTTGGTTTCCTGGCCGCTGGAAAGGATGCTGTGCTTGTAGGCGCAGGCCTTTTCAGATTCGCCTCGCGATCCAGCCAGCAACGCACAGGCGCGGCTGTTCCTTCGCCAGGCTGCACAGGACTCGGCGATCCAAATCCAGACTTGCTCAGAGTTACGTGATCTATTCTTTTCTCGTCTCGCTGGAACCTTTGGGCCTCTTGGCGCGGGCACGGAGGTTGATTGGATTGCCGACGAAAATCCGGAAGCCAAAACCAGTGGCAAAGCTTGGAAAGGACCAGCGCGAGTTCTCGGCATGGAGGGCCAGCAGAAGTTTGGGCTCTCGCACGCCTGACGGTAACGCTATCACTGTTCACCGCCATCGTGTTCGCCCTGGCGAGAAGCGCGGCGCTGTCGAGATCCAGGTCGCAACGCCCAGCGAAACGAAACGACGCAGCCCAGCCGCTGAGGGCGCCGCAGAAACTCCCCCACGCAGACTCTGCAACCACCAAGTGCAGCACCACCGCCTCAGCCAAGTTTGCCGCCGCCGCCAAATCCACCGCCTCAGCCAAGTGCGCCGCTTCAGGTTCCGCGGAGCGTGCCGCCACATCCTATGGCAACGGCCCCGTTGGACTGCGCGTTTCTCATGCGCCCCCGCCGGCGCATGTGCCGACAGTGCCGCCGCAACCCTTGAGGCGGATCACTGGGGAGAAACCGTGGGGCGGCGAAGTGCTAGACGAGGGGCCGCCGCATAAATCACAGACGTTGCCTCGCATCCCTTCGGGCGACGATCTGTTTGTAGCTGCGAACGACGACGCGGAAGATCCCTGTTCCGCGAGCTAGAACAGTGGTCGGTGATGGCAGAGGTCGCGGATTGCTGTTCCAGCTGTGGCCAAATCGTTGAAGACCACCGGGGCCCCCCCGCGGGAAGTGGCCGAATATGGCCCTGCATTCGATGCCCCAAGCGCGCGAATTGCAGGCTGTGTCGGACAACTTCGAGGTCGAGCCGCCTCCTCCAGGAGCTGCGGCAACCCCGTCCAGGTTACGACCACGTAGTAAACAGTCCAACTCTGCACCGGCACTCCTTGCGCTTCCTCCTCCGGCTGGCCGCGCGCCAGGGCCGGGCGCCAGAAGCGTGAGATATCAGAAAGGCGTTTTTCCGAGCCGACGCTTCCGCAGACCCCAACTGGGGAGACGAGCCGATCTCCGTCGCACCGCCTGTTGGCGCGAGTCCCCTGAAGAATTGTGCATGCCAGCTTCGACGTGGTAGAGCGCTATCTGGTCTACGTCGTGCTCCTCGAGATTGGTGCTTCCATATGCGTTCTCTTCTTCTCGAGTAGGGTTTCGTGCAATCCACCGGGGATCCTTGCGTGTTTCTTTGGTTTGAGAACGGTCGCTTCCAGGGCTTCGTCGGCCTTCATGTAGATGGCGTTCGCGCGGCCGGCGCGGAGGGATTTGCGATCGCAATGGATTCTCTTCCTCTTTAGCGGGGTAGACGTTCTGCTGGTGATTTTGCGCTTCGTGGTCTGCAGATTGCCGTTCGCATGCCGTGCGTCAGTTAGACCAGAAGGCGTGCTGCATGGACTTATCCGCGATCGCTGTTCCACCTCGTCGCGTTCGTTTGCCTATCCCTCCAGCGACAGGTCGAACGCAATTCTTCTCGCAAGTGCCTCAGCGAACTCATTTGGGCAGTGGGCCGGGCAGCCCCGACAGGGTCGTTTCACGTGAGCGCCATAGCATCTAAAGTGCAGACTGCCATGGTTGCCGCGCCGTCGGAGCGCAGCAGAAACGCTCGACGCATCCGGCGCGAACCCGCAGTGCTCAATGTTGGACCAACGTCGAAACGAATCTGCGCGCATTCGCATGGAAATTCGCCAGAAAGCAAGCCGTCGCAACGGGGAATGGCCACCTTCATTGGAGACATGGAATTGGGAAACAAGCCAGTCGTCCGAGCACGCTTATACCGAGGGGCTTCCAAGGAACAAGAGTGTGCATGCACGAGCACGTTGGCAACAGAAGCGCTGGCTGGCGAGACGGCGCTGGATGTGAACTTCGCGACGCGACGGCGCATTCAGGAAGCGCTGGGCCCTTTGGAACCATTTCCGGGAGTGTTGCTTTCTGATAGTTGGTCTCTGGTTACGAACGTATTTTCGACTGCGCCACGCGTGCCAGAGGAGGATTTGATCCTCTCCCTGCAGCGCATTCGGGAAGCTACTGTTTCGTGGGTACGCTTCCACGGTAGCAAAGTTGTCCCCGCGGATTTGCGGTGGCAGCCGGATTCTGGCATGGTTGCAGATCCGTTTGCGAAGCCAAATTCGAACCCCTCAAACTGCTTTCTCCGATTCGACCGGGTACTTTGTCGTTTACTTCAGCCTGCAAGCCTGCCTCGGCCCCTCCAGACACCACTAGCAGCGCGGGTCCAGCGAAACCTTCGCGCTTGGGTTTCCCGGCCGAGGGAACGGTGGGTCTGGCGACTGCGATGGTCGCCGCAGCCGTCGGCGCACTCGCGCCCCGCGCGCCGGCGACGACGAGCATGGCGCCCCCGCCTTCGAACGGCGCCGCCAGCGCGGCGCCGCCGGGAAGGCCACCTCCCACCAAAGCGCTCTTTGGAAGGCCGCCTCTTGCAGTGGCAACCCCGACGGCCGCAGGGCATCTAGCAACGCTGCCGCCCCCGCGCAGGCTGAACCCAGTAGAGCGCCATCTGCTCGCGGAGTCGCAGCGCGGCTTCCGCGCACCGGCGCCGGCCGATGCAAGGCTGCCAGGATATGAATCGTCTGGGGCAGGTCGAACGAGCTGTGGGCCTGGTTCGACAGAAGCTACATGCTCAGACCAAGGGCAATATTTTGGCTGAGCGCGTGGTTGTCGACTCGGAACTTCGGGCTGCAGGCGCGCCAACAGCGAAGGAGAAATCCAGCGACCATCGTTGCCGCAGGGGCGTGGATGTGCGCTGTCATTGGACGTCTGCCAAGAAGCTCAGAGACAGACAGAAAGCCAAGAGACAGAACGCAGTTGGAAGTGAAAGACCGGAAGAGGGCCGCTGAACAGAGAGCTGCTGCTTCGGTTGCGACGCCGGCTCCTTCTGAACCGCCGCCGGCGCCGCCGAAGATGCGGCCCAGGTTGTCTTCCGACGTCAGTGTGGCCGACAGCTCAGACGAGACGCTGAGCTGCGACGGCAACGACCTGGCGGCGTCCCAGCCGCCCAGATTGGCAATGACGGTGCCGATTGGGGGGATAGGGGCCGCGACGGCAAGTTCGCTGTTTCGAAGGCGCGTCCCTGTCTGAGCCTCTCCACTGACGCGCGGCTGAAACGCAGCCCACCTTCAGCCGCAAGGCGGGCGAAGCGCGCAGATGCGAGGAAAGCAATGAAGGCAGGAAAGGAAGCCGCGAAGACTGCAGCGATCACTACCTGAGACTTCTCTCGTGCTTTCCTTAGAGAAAGAAGGGCGAGGTTGACAACCGATCCCATTCGTCTTAGTTCATCCCTGTCCCTTTCGCGTCTTGTCTCTTCTGTCTCTTCCTGTTCGCTTCCTTGCACCGCTTGCTCCCGCCGCCATTTCGGGCCCATGAATCGCGCCGTGCCCATCGGCGCCCCAGGAACAGCAACGCCCGCCCGGGCGATCTTCGCCGGATGGGTTTCGCTTGATTCATCTTCGCAGACCGCCTACAAACGTCGTCAAACGTAATTTGTCACGCGGTTCAAAATCGAAGCGTTCGATAGTTTGGACACTTGTCTGAAAACGCGTTCTTCGATGCTGCGAGGGTATTGCTGGACTTCGGACACCCCTGCGTTTGGGCCACATATATCACGCCAGCAAAGTAGTCGCGCCGACAACGCAAGCACCGAAAGCAATAAATCAGTAATTTATGTTCGACGAGTTTGGTTAGTTTGTAGGCGTTAAGCTCGCTTCCATTCGCTTGTAATGATTGCCTTCTCGTCCGCTTGGCGGGAGGGTTCGCGTTGGTTCATTCTTTCGTGGTCTTGTGTGAGTCCTCGCGTGAACAGTGCATCCGATCGCATTCTTCAGCCGATACTAGTCATCACCGCCGCCAGTGCCATCGCGCCGAGTTCCTCTCACGTCGCGGCCCTGGCTCAATCCCATCCCGCAGCGGCTGATGCATTTCTGTCTCCGCCGCTGCACATACACACCGGCGGCGGGCGAAGGCGGCCAGGGCCTTGGGGGGGTGGGCCTTCCGAGAACGCCCTCACCTCCGTCCGGCCACGGGGGGTGGGTGGGGGACGTCATCATGGCTTGAGGTTCGAGGTTTCTCATGTTCGAGGTTTCCGGTTGTTTCCCTGGGGTTTTCCTGCTTCGGGATGCGTTCGCGCAGCTGCGCGTCGCCGAGAACGTTCTCGAGCAGTCGCTGCAGGCCCGGGCTCGCCCCCGAACGCCGAGTCATAATGGTCCAGGTCGATCCGATCGATCCGATTAGTTATCGACGGTCTGCCCGGTCCAGTCCGATCCCGGCATTCCGACGCTCCGATGCGGCCCGATGCTTGCGTGAGCGCGGGTTGTCATCCTGGCATGGCCGACAATTCGATTCCGGCGAGGTATCACGTTTTTCCGCAACGGGGGGGCCTGCACCTACGGCACTTTCGCGTCGTCTCGACTGGCGGCGACCCTACAACGTGCGTTGAAGGTTGAACGCCGCCCGTGGCCCAGACTCGGCCCGTCGTTGAAAAATCTGGCGTTCACGGAACGTCCGACCGTTCACGTTTGAACGATCCCCGCGGTGTCAGGAACCAACGCCAGGGTCGACAAGACGCGAACTTGCCGTAGGCGGTTGAAAAACTTCTGCCCCCACAGCGGCACTGCGGGGTGTAAATTTGCCGGAGCCGCCCTGCTAGGGCGGGCGTCCCGATGGCAGATCGTGTCGTCTTGAAGATACGTTTGTCGGTCCGCGAATTCGCTCTCGTTCTTGCTCTCTCTCTATCTCTCGTCTCTCTCTCTCGCTCTCCCTCTCCCTCTCTCTCGATGTTTGTTTTAATCGGATATCTCTCTTTCGTCTTTCTATGGCTCTCTCTCTCTCTATCTGTCTCTCTGTCGCCTCGAGACCATTTTGTTTATTGCTTGGGGCATGACGGGCGTCATGGCCCCCGCTCCCCCCCCCCCTATGACGTAACGCTCCCCCCCCACTGCGCTCCGGGCACAGCCGCTGTGCGCACTGGGATCCGCGTAGGTGTCCGCGTAAGAATCCGCATAGGAGTCTGGTCCGCAGTCGTCGTCGTCGTCGTCGTCGTCGTCGTCGTCGCCCGTGGCTCGTCGCTCATCGTCGTCGTGCGCACGGACGCGGCTGGAGCTTGTTATTTGTTCCAGGCCGATCACGGCAATCATCTGAGAGGGTGTGGAGGGGGTCCATGACATCATGTTTCGCGCCGGCGGCGTCTCGGAATGCCTAGGAATGACAGGGGACGGGTAGCACCAGCATGTCGGTGGCGATCTGCACCACAACGCCTGTGCACACCACAGTGCCTGCGTACATCACAGCGCCTGTGTACACCACACAGCCTATGCACACTACGGCAGCCGCGTGCAACACAGCGTCAGTCTGTGCCACCGTGCTCGCGGGCACCTAGCTTTTGTGTACACCGCAGCGCCTGCGTACACCACATCAGCCTTGTGCAACACAGCACCAGTGTACACCATAATGCCTGCGTGCGTTGCAGTGCCTGTGTACACCACGGCGCCTGTGTGCACCACAGCAACCGTGTGCAACACAGCGCCACACTTGCATATCGAATGTTAGAGAGAATCCGTATGATGAAATGGAGCGCTTGTCGATTTCACAGAAAACACAAAAAGGAATCCTCATGGACAAAGGAGCGCCGCTGGAATCTACAAGTTCTCCCGGGTCCGCCCGCATCACCCTAACTTTTCCCATCTGCGTCCAGGAGGCTCCAGCAAAATTTGCCGTGCGAAAACCAAGTGCCCCGATTCAATCGGCCATTATGCGGTGCACTGCGCGCTGAATTGCGCACGTGCGCTGTAGCGCCACCCCGCACGACAGGGGGTAAGGAGGAGGAAGAGGAGGAGGAGGAGGAGAAGGAGGAGGAGGAGGAGGTGGAGGCGGAGGTGGAGGTGGAGGAGGAGGGAAGAGGGAAGAGCGTCGCATTCGATTATCAGCACTGTCTTGCACGCAGACGCTGGTGTACAGTCGCGCTGCGTTGCACGCGCATGCTGTGGTGCAGACAGGCGCCGTGGTGTACACAGGCACTGCAATGCACGCAGGCACTGTGGTGTACACAGGCGCTCTGTTGCACATGGTTGCTGCGGTGTACACGTGTACACCGGCGTTGTAGTGTACGCAAGCACTGTTGCGTACACAGGCGCTGCGTTGCACACGGTTCTTGAGGTGTACGCAGGTGTTGTGGTGTTCGCGCTCGTTGTGGTGCGCGATGTGTACACAGGCGCAGTGGGGCATATCGCCACCTACATTCTGCTCGCGTCGTCCTCGTCGTCGTCGTCGTCGTCGTTTTCGTCGTTTTCGTCGTCGCTCGTCGCTCGTCGCGTCGTGCGCGCGGGCGCGGCTGTGGTGCCGGAACCACACGGGGGGGGGCGCTACGTCATACCCCCCCCCGCCCCCCCCATGACGCCCGTCATCGCCGAACATAAAGAAACGCTCTCCTCTCTCTCTGTCGCTGTCTCTCTTTCCCTTTTTTTTTTCTCTCTCTCTCTCTCTCTTTCCTTTCCCTCTCTCTCTCTCTCTTTTTGTCACTCTCTCTCTCTCTCCCTCTCTCTCTTCCAAGGGTCCTTTCCTCCCATCCTACCTTTGGGGTCCTCCAGAGATGCCTGTTTGTTTCGCGCGGGCCAGCGCTCGGGGAGGCTTCCGCATTCCGCAAGAGTCGTCTTGGAAGGTGTACGCAGGGGGCCCATCCTCCCGGCCGCCCAGATGGGGCCGGAGCAGATGGGTTCGGGGGACCGCGCCGCGTCGCTGACATGTTGGGATCTGACGTCCGATTTTCTCCGTCCCGAGGTCGCCGTTGTGTGACCGATGCATTGGCGATTCGGTGCGATCCTCCCACCCCATCCGCTCATGCCTCATGCGGACGGGCCTCCACATTCGGGTCGGACCGAAAGGGGGGGGTCGGGAAGGGTGGGCTACAGAAACTGCTGCACGCAGCTTGCTTCGGCCCGGCCGCATGCCGCTTTCCATGCTACTTGGCGCCATCAGGCGCCGGAAGGCGCTGGGGAAATCGGCGCCTGAGCTGATTCGCTAACGCCCCTTTGCTATCCCCATGCAGGTAAATTTCAAGCCGATCGATCCGATTCGATATCGATGCTGGTTGGCCCGATCCGATTCGATTCCGACTTGCGGCCATCCGATGCTGCCCGGTGCTTACGTGTGCGCCGTTATGCACCCTGGCGCAGCCGATCCGATTCTGCTTAGACTCCGTGCAGATGCGCCTCGATCCGACGCACATTCCGATCTGATCCGATTTCCCGATTCGGTGATGGCTGTTCTTGCCCCTTGCGTCCGCCCCCGCACTTCTCTTCTGAGGTGTATCCTGCCATCTTGTCAGGGCCGCTCGCCCCACCACGGCCTCCCCTCTTCACCACCCACCAGATCACCCCAGCCCAACCCGAAGGCTTCAATTTGCCCTCCACTTCCAGTGTTGGGGGGTCGGGGAAGATTGAAAAAACACATATGGAGCCCATACCCCCCCCAACCCGAAATTCGGGTCTTCGGGTTGGGTTGCGTCGGTCTGGTAGGCAGTCACCTCTGCCCGCCGCCTGCCGTCCGTGTGGCCCGGATATCATGGCGGGCTTGCTGGGGCCAGCGCTGGAGCCCTTCATCACCGACGCCGGCGACGAGGTGCTGACCAAGAGGCGCGGCGCCAAGGAGGACGCGGAGTCGGGTGCAAGCAAGTTTGAAGTCGGGCGTGTTCCTCTACAGGAGGAATATGCAAAAATAGTGAAAACATACTTTGGAGACTATTGTTCGACTTTTTTTGACAATTGTTTGATTATGTTTTCGATTATGTTTTATTTTCCAAATCCTCCTGTAGGAGGAGATGCCCGAACTAAAGCAAGTTTCACAGGCGCGCACAAGGGGAGTGGCGCGAGGGGGGTGGGGCCTTCTGGGCAGACAGCGGGCTTATGCTAGGGCGGGGGCGTTCTTGAAAGGGCCCCGAGCCTTTGAAGAAGTCTGCTCAGAAGCCGCGAGGTCTTCTGAAAAGGTTCCTGCCTTCAAGAGCCCCCCCCGCCTTCTGAAAAGGCCGGCAACCTCTCGCCACCGCCTTGCTCGCGCCGCCAAAAGTAGATGTATCTGTATCTGTGTATGAATAGATTGATGTATACGTTCCCCAAACGGTGCTTGCAGTTCGGCATTCTAATTCGTTCTCTAAGGAGCTGGGCCTGACGGTCGGTCTGGCAGCTATGCTGTCGCCGTCGCCGCTCTGTCGTCGCCGTCGCAGCTCGTTGCCGCCGTGACGTTGCTTGCTTGCCTGCTCGGACTCGCGCTTGCTTTGCATTGCGTTGCTTTGCATTGCTTGGCATTGCTATACATTGGTTTATCTTGCTTTGCTTTGCTTTTCGTTGCGTTGATTTGCGTTGTTTTGCATGGCATTGCATTGCTTTGCATTGCGCTGCTGTGCCGTACTTTGCGTTGACTTGCATTGTCTTGCGCCACATCGATTTGATCGCACATTATGTACCACATAAATTGCACCTCGTATATTCTCACTTCTAAAACAGAATAGGATCTACCCCCCCCTCGGCGTTATCGCCCCCCCTTTCGGGTTTGTAAATCTCATATGATTCTGACCACATGTCCATCCTAACTATGAATTTACACTATCCCCGGGGGGCCGGGTTCACCCCCCCTGAGGTTCCCTTGTAAAAAAGCACTATGCGGTGACATTTTCCGCTCTAACATAATACTTTTTCGCGAATCCCTTGCAACAAATGGGACGAAGTGCACACGCGCGCGTCGTCGCGCGCGCATGTTGAAATCCTTCAACAACCTTCGGTGCCAGAAGGATTTCGCAATCGAGTTTCCAAACATCATACAAAACACAGGGTTTCGCAACATCGATTTGCTAAAAAAGCTTCCTCGCGAGCTCTTGCGAGATCTTCAGAAATCCATTGGTTTTCAAGATTTTCACAACATGCTATTAAACGGGCTTCGCGCGCGCGCATGTCGAAATCTGTCGAACGCCCTTGCGCGTGTGTCGTCGCGAGAATCCTTTGCAAAAAATGAGACGAAGTGCAAACGCGCGCGTCGTCGCGCGCGTACGCCGAAAACCTTCAAAACCCATCGGCTTCGGAAGGATTTCAAAATCGTGTGTCCAAAACAACCTACAAAAACACAAGGTTTCGCAACACGGATTTTCAACAAAAGCGTGCGCGCGCGCTCTTGCGTCGTCGTCGTCGTCGTCGTCGCCGTCCTCCCTCCTCCCGCGTCGTCGTCGTCGTCGTCGCCTACGTCGTCCTCTGTCTTTCCTCGTGTTCGTCGTCGTCGTCCTCTTTGGCGTCGTGGTCGTTTCCGTCGTCGTTGTCGCCGTGGTCGTCCTTCCTCCTCCTCCCTCGTCGTCGTCGTCGTCCGTCGTCGGCGTCTCGTCGTCGTCCCTCCTATTTCGTCGTCGTCGTCGTCGTCGTCGTCGTCGTTGTCGTCGTCGTCGTCGTCGTCTTCCCTCCTCCCTCGTCGTTGTCGTCGTCGGCGTCGCCGTCCTTCCTTCTTCTTCGTCGTTCGCGTCGTCGCCGTCCTCCCTCCTCCCTCGTCGTTGTCGTCGTTGTCGCCGTCGTCGTCCTCCCTTCTCCCTCGTCGTCGTCTTCGTTGGCGACGTCGTCGTCGTCTTCGTCGTTGTCGTCGTCGGCGTCGGCGTCGTCGTCGTCGTCGTCGACGTCGGCGGCGTCGTCGTCGTCTTCGGCGTCGTTGTCGTCGTCGTCGTCGTCGGTGTCGTCGTTGTCGTCGTCGTCTTCGTCGTCGTCGTCGTCGTCGTCGTTGTCATCGTCGTCGTCGTCGGCGTCGGCGTCGTCGTCGTCGTCGTCGGTCGTCGTCGTCGTCGTCGTTGTCAGCGTCGTCGAAGTCGTTGGAGACGTCGTCGGTGTCATCGTAGTCGTTGTCGGCGGCGTCGTCGTCGTCGTTGTCGCTGTCGTCGTCGGCGTCGCTGTCGTTGCCAAGTGCCATTTGGTACCCACCGTCACGGTCTGAAGAGATTTTGCAAACCAAGTTGCGGGTGGGTGGGTGGGATGTTTGCGCGAGCAGTGGAGTGGACAACTCACTGCGAACAGAAATGAATTCTCCTTTTTGAAAACAGAATAGGATCTACCCCCTGGAGTTATCGGTCCCCCTTTCGTGTATGTAGATCATATATGATTCTGACCACATGTCCATCCTAAATATGAAATCACAATGTCCCAGGCCAACCGGTATCCCCCCCTGAGGTTCCCTTGTAAAAGACAGTCTTTTTGTAATAAAAGGGGGGGGGTCTGATTTGGGGGGGGGTCTGGCTCAACCTGTCTTGGAGACAGGGGGTCGGGTCTGAGTTTGATGCCCGAAGGAGTCCCGCGGGGGGGGGGTCTGTTTCGATCTGTCTGGCAGGTGCGGGGGGGGGGGCTTGGTTTTGTCATCAGTTGGTCCAGAGAGGGGGGGTCTGTGTCAACGTGTCGTCTCAGACGCCCCCCAGAGCTTTTGGGAGGTCCTGGGGGGGGGGTCTGTCGTTTTGTTCGCCGAGGTTGCCTTCTTGGGGGGGTCTGGATCGTCTCGTCTTGGCACGTCCTGGGGGGGGCTACTTTTTGATGGAGGTCGCCCCAGACGGGGGGGGGTCTAAAATGGCTCGTCTGGGAGGTTTGTGACCCCCCCTTTATTATACTTGTTCTAACATAACACTTGTTCGCGAATCCCTGGCAAAACATTGGACGAAGTGCGCACGCGTGCGTCGTCGCGCGCGCATGCCGAAATCCTTCAAAAACCTTCGGTGCTGGAAGGACTTTGCAATCGAGTTTCCAAACAATATACAAAAATTTCGCAACACTGATTTGCTAAAAAAGCTTCCGCGCGAGCTCTTGCGAAATCTTAAGAAAACTATAGGTTTTTTCAAGATTTTCACAACATGCTATTAAACGGACTTCGCGCGCGCATGTCGAAATCTGTCGAACGCCCTTGCGCGTGTGCCGTCGCGAGAATCCTCTGCAAAAAATGAGACGAAGTGTAGACGCGCGTCGTCGCGCGCGTATACCGAAAACCTCCAAACCCATATGTTTCGGAAGGATTTCAAAATCGTGTGTCCCAAGAACCTACAACAACACAAGGTTTCGCAAAACTGATTTTCAACAAAAGCGTGCGCGCGCGCTCGCTCTTGCGTCGTCGTCGTCGTCGTCGCCGTCCTCCCTCCTCCTGCGTCGTCGTCGTCGTCGTCGTCGTCGTCTACGTCGTCCTCTGTCTTTCCTCGTGTTCGTCATCGTCGTCCTCTTTGGCGTCGTGGTCGTTTCCGTCGTCGTTGTCGCCGTGGTCGTCCTTCCTCCTTCTCCCTCGTCGTCGGCGTCGTCCGTCGTCGGCGTCTCGTCGTCGTCCCTCCTATTTCGTCGCCGTCGTCGTCGACGTCGTTGTCGTTGTCGTCGTCGTCGTCTTCCCTCCTCCCTCGTCGTTGTCGTCGTCGGCGTCGCCGTCCTTCCTTCTTCTTCGTCGTTCACGTCGTCGCCGTCCTCCCTCCTCCCTCATATTATCGTCGTTGTCGTCGTTGACGCTGTCGTCGCCCTTCCTCCTTCCTCGTCATCGTCTGCGTTGGCGACGTCGTTGGCGACGTCGTCGTCGTCTTCGTCGTCGTCGTCGTCGGCGTCGGCGTCGTTGTCGTCGTCGTCGAAGACGTCGGAGACGTCGTCGGTGTCGTCGTAGTCGTTGTCGTCGGTGTCGTCGTAGTCGGTCTTAAGAGGATTTGCAAACCAAGTTGCGGGTGGGTGGGTGGGATGTTTGCAAGAGCGTGGGATGTGTCAAATCATGGGTAAAAATCAATTACACACCATAGATAGCACCACATACATTGCACCGCATAGACTACACAGCAGAGATCGCGCCACATAGACTGCACCACACATCTTGCACTCCGTAAACTGCACCACGTATGTTGCACCACATCGTTTGCTCCGCATACATCACCCAATCTATACACATATCTTTGAAAGAGCGCGTTCTGTGGTCGCTTGGAGGGGGGGGGTTGGAACCGGACCCCCCCCCCCCTGGATGGAGGGGGGGGGCCCCTCCCGTGACGCAGCGGGGAAGGGGGTTCAAACCCCCCCCCTTCTTCCCGTGACGGCGGGGGGGGTTTGGGGGGGTGGGGTTCCAACCCCCCCTCTTGCTTCCCCTCTCCTCGGGCCGGCGCTTGCGTCGGCGGCGGCTGGCGACGTCGGCGGGGACGACGATTTCCATTTCTGGGCCGGCGCCGGCCGGCGGCGGGCGGCGGTGGCGGGGAGCGTCGACGAGGACGACGGTGGTGGTGGTGGTGGTGGTGGTGGGTTGTGGTGATGGTGGTCGTAGCGGTGGTGTTGGTTGTGGTGGTGGTGGTGTGGTGGTTTGTTGTGGTGGTGGTGGTGGTTGTGGCGGTTGGTGGTGGTCGTGGTGGTTTGGTGGTTG